CCCCCCAACCCCCCAATTAAAAAGAAAAACTATCATTCAAATGAACCAGAAATTGGTCAGAATGTTTTACTTGTCTTATCTTGCTAAATGCCTTCTTAAAATGAAGTACAGTGTATGATGTGGTCAATATTTGGGGTGAAGCATAAACCTCTTTCCTCCCCCTCCCCTTCCATAATCCTTTAAACCTATTTACTGAACACTAGTTACTGTTTCTGTTGTACAGATTGTTCTGACATTAGAACATCGTAAGTTTATAGTACAAGATCAGAGTCATTTTCATCATGACAATGGAAAAAGATTCCAAAAGTACAACAAGGAACTTGAGGAATTTAAGCGGGAATTATATGAATACAGTATATCTTTCCCACCAAGGTAAAGAACATTCACTATAACAGTTTTTGCATTATCTTTGTATTTCAAAAGTAAATTTGCTATCATTTTTTCTTAAAGTTGAACTTTCAATTTTTATCATTGCTCTCAAACAACCTCTGGGCAGATCAAAGTTAGGGCATGGCTATCTCACCAATTGAAAATTGCCTGATATTTAGCATATTATTGTTTTTAAATTGTAGAGGGTGGAAAACCTACAAGTTCTTGTCTATTGGTGCAATTCCTGGCATACTATCAGCTAGATAATAGCTAGATAAGGGAATCAAAAGTAGCACCACAGTCATAGTGCACTTGCCTATCACCTCTGTGTCTTGGGTTTAATTCCTAGACTCAACAGATCACGTGTGAGTGGCATTTGTTAGGTCTTTCCCTTGATTAAAACATTTTTCTCCAGGTTCTCTGCTTTAATCCCTCTGCAAAACCTTACACTCTAAATTCCGATTCAATCTTTGAGTTAGCTGTGCCCTGAGTTTGATCAGCCAGAGACAGTTTCAAGAAAGCCTAGATATTTAATATTTTGTCTTTCATTTTAGTTACCCATTTAGTGAAAACATTGATGAAGGAGCAAGATACAATAACTCAAGGTAAACAAACAAAAATATTCCCACCATCAAAAATAATCAAAAATCTCTAAGGTGTAACAAGCATGTCTTGGTATTTCTGCACCAGATGCCCTTCTTGGTGTGATCGTGTTCTTCTAAGTCACTCTGTAAAAAAGATTATCGCTAAGGTAAATATAAGATAATATACATGGATTTCCATTACATTACAGGGTTTTCATTAAGGGAATGCTCCAGTAACTGTGCAACATTCTATAGCTAAAACTACAATAATATTCTTCTATTAGCCATTCCAAGGTTGATGGAAAGACTCGGTCAAGTTTGGGGCTAACTTGACCCAGTTTTTCCCTCAACTAAATTATTTCAAAACTCTGCCACAACTCTCCAGCTAGTTCATGAACTTCTCCTCTTATTTTAAAGCTTAATGAAAACCCTATTATTTTCATCTTTATTTGTTCTGAGTGGTAGAAATTAATTATTATTCACTGCTTTTAGGATGATGGTGTGTGCACTTATGATATAATTGGAAGAAAAGTCTGTATGGGTGACCACAAGGTTTGTATCTTTGTCAGCTACAAGTTACATACTCTGTTGCTTTGAATCCACCCATCCATCCATCCATCCATCCATCCATCCATCCATCCATCCATCCATCCATCCATCCATCCATCCATCCATCCATCCATCCATCCATCCATCCATCCATCCCTCCATCCCTCCATCCCTCCATCCCTCCATCCCTCCATCCATCCATCCATCCATCAGTATTTCTCAGTAGCTGACTTGCCAGTCTTACCCAATCTTCATAATGTTTACATTTTTCAGCCTGTGTTTTTGCAATTGAATCTTGACACATCTAAGAATGGTAAGATCCTATCCTATTCATACTATAATTGCATATTACATAATTTTATTTCCTTATAATTTAAAATTTTATTTTAGTTTTGCTATAAATGTTTTCCTTTTATTTTTAATAGCAACATCCATAATTGCCATATGTTCAATGTTCAATTTGTTTTTTATTATTTTTACCTCGAAATATAAGAACTTTTAAACTTTTAAGCAATCACTTCATTTTAAATATTTTTTATGTCAAATATATGAACTTCGGAATTGCTTCCTAGAGTTTGCTATGCCTATCTATCTCCAACCTCACATTTCTTCATAAAAAAATGAAAGAATTTTGAAAAAAATTTTTGATATTTTCCAGATAATACACATCAACCTCTTCATCAAATATACTTTGTTTAGATTCTATGTTGTATGTATTGTTAACAATTGATGTAAATTGTTTGGCACTGCTTAATTTGTTAATAAATACAGTAGTGTTTTAAAAACTCATTCACAGCTGTAGAAGAAACGAAGGGAAAAGCCTAATATTCTTCATTATTATCCATACGTGAGTGTTCGTACAGACTAGGTTAGTTAATTAAATTGTACTCGTATGAGCTTTAAAATAATCTGTCTTAAATAGTCTTGTTAAAGTCAGTTTYGTTTCCATCTTATTGCTTTTATTTGTGTTATGTAAGAGTCACCAACACAGCACTGCATTGTTTTCTTTGTGCATGCCTTTATATGTCTGGCTGTTGGTTGTACTAAGATGTGATAATCGTAATGACAACTTTCATGGCACATTCACCATCATATTATATTTTTTTGGGGTGAGAGAGTCATAAAAAGACTTGCTCCAGAAAATACCCTACCTTCTTCCCATCTCTCTCTCTCTCTCTCTCTCTCTCTCTCTCTCTCTCTCTCTCTCTCTCATGCACACACATACTCAGGAGATCAGAACAGGGGGGAATCCAGGAATTGGAGAAAGGGGCCCAGAGAACTTTGGCATTAGAAGAACCTTTATGAATTAGAGAAGGGGGGTGCCCACAAATCTTTGGCGTTACATAAACTTTTATTTAGTGGGAAGGCTTTCATGTGGAGGTATTTTAACTTTATCCTATGAAACTAACTGGAGCTTGAGGTATCTGTCGATGGGGAAGGAGGTCTTACACTATATCAAATATACACATTTCATTCTTATTTAATCAAGTGAAATACATACACTCTGCATGTATTCTCACTTGCACACAGGTATCCCAARATCAGATGGATTTAATTCAAAAACCACAGGAACCCCAACTTTGATTTTTTTGCACTTCAAACAGATCTTTGTTGATTGTGTCTAAATCTTATCGTATTGGTTTCATTCACCTAGGGTCAATCTCCAATGGAGTTTCAGAGGAATATATTGAGTATATCACCTGTGTATAGTACAAATTATTGAATGACATGACAAATATTTAAATATATAATGATTAAGTTAAATGTTTGGGATTCTATCCCAAAGTCTAGAAGAAGCCTATGAAAAATATACAATAGTTTAGATTAAACCAATGATTATATGAAAAATATCTAGAAAATGACAAGAAAACTAGAAATAAGATGGAAAGGAGAATAGTGGAAAGAAAAGATGGTAGGAAACCAGTGAAAACAGCTAAAAGAGATGAAGAAAATGTGGGAATGAAGATGGGAATATGAGGAAAACTGGAAAGAAAAACAAGAAAAAGAAGAGAGAAGGAAACACTGGAGAGAATTCAAGACAAAGGCACAAAATAAGAAATAAACTTCTTAGAATCTTGGATATAATAAATTCAGCCATCTTTTCATGCCAACTCTTCAAAGCTCCATCCTGATTTAGTGAAATGCAGAGATTCAGGCTAAAAGCATTTATAGTTAAAGTCTTCAGTCAGGGGCGGATCCAGGGGAGGGGTGCAGGGGGTGTGCACCCCTCCCTGGTTACACTTTGTGCTCCTACTTCGAAGATAACCAATTTTGTTTTTTGCCTTTGATTCTAAGGGGTGCACCCCTCCCTGGGTTAACATTGTGCGCAGCACCCATTCCTGAACAAAATCCTAGATCCGCCCCTGTCAGTGATTTTGTTTTCGAACCTGATTGCTTCCAGGTCCAAAAAGTAATGCTGATCACCCTACCCCTTTTTCTCTCTCTCTTTCTTGGAAAGTGGAAAAGTAGCTAGAAAATTAAATATAATTCTATGTATTTATTTTAGGCTAAATAAAACAAAAAGGGACTTGAAGGCTGGGTTTTCACATTAAGATAGTTTGATCCTGGTCCTAGAGACAATGTTTAATTTTCCTTCCTTAGGAGACAAAAGAGTTGGCCCTAGCAGTAGAGTCACCCTAACTTCAAGTAAACCAACTCTTACCTCCATAGTATATTATATCGATATAAGCATATCTGGGACATTGCAAGCCTGATCTCAGGATATGTTTTGAATCAGGGTGCATATTATTATGCTGCCTATTTAATGGCATCGTTTATTCATATACATACCTACTTTTTTATTAGAATGAATCTAATGGATATATTTCGTTTATTATAGAATGTTTATCTTTTTTTTATTAATATATATTTTGTGGGAAAGCAATTTCGTTTTTCCTGGGTTATTATTTTTTTTCTCTTCCTTTCTTCCTTCATATTCATCTGATCTTTTGTCCTTTTCTCATCTTTTCTCTGCACTTCTCTTCTCTTC